GTGGTTTTTTGTCAGTAAAGGCCATTCATTCCCTCTCGCTCTACCCAGGAAGGCAGGAGTCATTAGATAATTTTCCCTCATCAAGAAATGTATATAAGAATTAAAAAATATTACGTTTAACTTTCTGTTATTGCAGGAAACACAATCGAAATACTGATCTTATCAGCTTTATCAATTTAAGTTAATCATAGTTTTATTTTATAACGTAACAGTCATTAAGTACCATTATTTATCAATTTCGTGTTGTTACCATTGAAAGGACTGTTGCAGTAAATACATATAATTAATCGAATATTTATTTTACATTACGTTAAGTTTATCATTCATCAATTAATAAAGGTAATTAAGTATCGGTGAGCCATGCTTCGACATGAATGGGCCGGCTCTATAGGAGTGATACCACGACCTCACAGAAGAGCAGCTTGAAGCAGTACTAACGTTGTGTTTCGCCGTGATAGTGAGGTTTCTAGAGGCCCATCCTCTCATCCTCAATCCATGAATCCCCTCTTCTTAAAAGTTACTTCCACAAGTAGTCAGCAACGTACTTGTAATAACTCCTTTGGTATTACGAGTGTTAATCATCAGGTAAACAGTCTGCTCGTTTGCCAAATTATGTCAAAGAAAAATAACAATAATAATTTATGAGTTTATATGATTAAAAGTATATAAATAATAAATTAATTGCCTTTCTCGTTGATCTTGATGATGACAAGGAACATTTTTGAAAAAGTATAAAATATGTATACAGATAGAGAGATTCAAAAGTAACCCTCAAGCTCGTATATTCTTTTTAGACACAATCAGTGTTTCGTCCTTCGTAATAACAATCCATAATATAAGGATGGCCGGCAGCGTATCGAAGACGACATCCAGGAAACCATTTTACCCAATTTTTTCATCACTACACAGGATATCCCAATGAAATGGTGTCCGAAATGTATTATATATATTTTACGTCAATTTTCCATATTTTTACTGATGTAGATGTAGCAATTTTTTACCGTATCTTGCCCGTTGCCTCGCATAAATGTCATTTCTAGAAGGTTCCCCTTATTTGAAACGACCGGCATATATTTTTCAAATTGACAGCGCATTTTTATTATTGGTATTTCACATGAGACGAATATATGTATCTGAATGACTTTGATGGAATTTTATGCTGCTTTTTAAGTTATGTTTTTTTTATTATTTAAAAATTCTTTTTTATTATTTCTCTTAGTGTTTTCTTTTGAATTTAAAGTTCGTAATAAATATACAATTTAACTAATGTATTTTTGACCTTTGCAACTTTTTTATTTTAAAAGTAATGAGGGCACTTAAAATACTGTAACATATTTACATAAAACTGGTAAAACAGCAGCTAAATTGAAATAAAAAAATGTTATGTATAAAATACTTTGCATAAGATATGCTTGTGTCACCTGTGGCATATAGTAAAATGCTAAAATATATCTATGCATGTGTATGTATATTATTTTATTTCAAAAGTACCTGGATGGCGGAGCTCAGCTCGACATTTCTCTTTTTTGAGAGTAAAACCTCTGCCTATATTGTTTTTTCCTAAAACTGTACATATCAAATTACATCGAAGCCCTTTTAATAAAATAAAGATTAAAAAAAAAAATTTACATCAAATTGTTGGAGCCATTTCCGAGACCCTGTGAATATAAACACAAAAATAGTTTTTAATTTTTTTTTTTAATTTTTTGTATTTATTTATTTTTATAACTTTTATATATTTTTTTTTTACATAGTAGGTACTTATCAATGTTTTAATGTGTCGTGGTGGCCCGGAGGTTAAGGCGCCCGCTTCTCATGCATGAGGGTGTGGGTTCGAAACCTGGCAAGTACCAATGTGACATTTTCCGAGTTATATGTACTTTCTATGATTGTTTAGACACCACTGACATACGGTGAAGGTAAACATCGTGAGGAAACCTGGACTTATAATTTATAATTATAAGTTTGAAATCGCCAACCCGCATTGAGCAAGTGTGGTGATTAATGCTCTAGCCTTATACGTGTGAGAAGAGGCCTTTGCTCAGCAGTGGGCACTTATAGGCTGACGATGATGAATGTTTTTAAACAATACTAAGTTTTATATGAATCTACCTACATTTATATGAATGAAGTCGTGTTATGTTAATTTTTTAAACATAACACGTCTAAAACATTACAAAGTCCTTGAATGCGATGACGCCTCCCCGTATGCACTCCAGTTTTGAATTTAAATTTTCTGGTCCCATTTAAATTCGTACTGCGCATAATTTCTACTCATAGTGAAGTAGGTACTATCGCAAATTTATGACAGTGAAAACAAAAGAATAAAAGGTCTGTTATTGTATTACAAACTTTTTTTTTGTGAGGGGAAAATCAGGGCGGGATGGAGTGTCAGACTCTTACTGACTAAAAACCCCCCTGTTCCTTCTCCTGCTCTAGGCCGAGGTCGCGGTGCCTATTGTATAACAATCTAAATACTATTTTGCGTACGGGCCCAGCCACTGCACATCTGTACTGTCGACTACGTATGTGGCCGGGCAAATGGTTGCTAAGCAACGTGTCGTGGTTTCGATTCCCTAATTGACGTTCTTTATCTTTATGAATTGTGTATATGACATTGTATGTTTACGACATTTACCTGAGTAATTATATTGTTTTATTAAGAAATAAATAGACAAAAAATACAATAATGGACGAATGTTTAGTGGATAAGTAAGTTGACTTGCAGGTCAGTCATAAACAAAAAGGAAGAAAAAAATGCATCTAAACAATAATATTATAAGTAAAACACCTTTTTACTTATAATATTTTATTTATTTTAAATTCCGACAGATTGTTTAGAGCAAATCTTTAGCCTGTTAACTGATTAAAGGGACTCAAATATCTCAATAATTGTAACACCAAAAAAAAATATATATTAAATAATAAGCAAAAACAAGCAAACAAACAAAAAATCTGGCTTTAGATTAAAAAAAACACTTAGCAGAAGCTCAAAGCGGAATTAATTAGAACCATTAATTCACTTTAGAATAATTATGTTTTGTCAAACAATTACGGTACTTAAATGCTTAAGTTTATAATATATTGCTTGAAAACAAAATGGCGGAACAATTCAGTTAGAAGACAGATAATTTATGTAGTAAATCATTAACAGATTAAATATAGAGGCTTGTTTGTTGTGCTCTTGAATTATGTAAGCTTAAGCTTCGTTGTAAAGATAACTTTGGAAATGTTTAGAATATTTTTTTTTATTCATAGTCTTGATTTTTACATGCAAGTCTCGAACTTCTTTATTCTTTATACCTTGGCCTTTTTGATATCTAGGTTACTTTTATCCATTTTTTATGTCATAGAACTGCAAACGAGCAGTTACCTGGTGGTAAGCGTACGCCGCCCATGGACACCCGCAACAACGAAAGAGTTAAGAGTGCGTTGCCGACCTTTTAGAGATTAGGATTTTGCTGGCTTAACTGATTCTCTTCGCTGATTAGCGAGGGATTCAGGGAGGGGAAGGATTGGGCCTCCGGTAACCTCACTCACACGACGAAACACAACACTGTGGTTATTACACGCCAGTTTTCTTTCAGGCAGTGGTATCACTCCGTTCGAGCTGACACATTCGTTCCGAAGCATGGCTCTCCCACACTTTTAACAATTTGGAGATTAAGGTACAGGGGCCGTGGCCTCAACCTGGAGCAGGAAGACTCCCTCCCTGGGCGAGAGAAGTCATTTGATGATTTTCAGCTCACAAAAAAGGGACTTAAAGATTTGATATGGAGAGTTAGGATTCGGCCTTACTGCACTCACGTGGTGAAATACAGCGCAAGAAATTTTTCACATCGGTATTTTGTAAGGTCGTGGCTGCAGCACTCGCGCTGAAGCTTGGTTATTCCAATCTTAAATAGTTACGTATTTTTTATAGGTCGGCTAACAAGCAGACGGATTACATGACATGGTGTTAAGCAATCAGCGCTGACATGGACACTCGAGTTGCGACAAGTGCGTTGCTGGCCTCTTGTGGTATAAACCACATAACATATATATATATATGATTATTAATGATGCGGGAGGGCGGGAGGGGGTTGGGCCTCAGGTAACTTCACTCACACGGCGTAAAACAACGTAGGTAGGTATAACTGTTGCTTTACGCCAATTTTCTTTGAAGCCGTGATGTCATTCCGGTTGAGCCAGCCCATTCGTGCCAAAGCATGGCACTTCTACACTTATCATGTTCTAATAGAGTTTCAAGCAATAATTTGTATTACATATTACATGCTTACGTGTCCAAATATCCATCGCCGTCAACCCCTTCAGAGATTGAAGGTTTAATGTTATTGTATATTTACATAATATTAAGTTATCTATCCTATCCGAACAACGGATAATAATTAATTTAACTATGTGTGTATGTGTGTATGCGAGTATGTGAATATAATTATAATTTACAGAGGCGATGATATCGTGCGGTTTGTTTGTTATTGGGTGACGATGAATTTACGCACGTGTCACTCCCAGGCACATTATATGCACATTAATTTAGATACAGGATGTACTGAAATTGTTTGGAAGTGAATATTTGTTGTTGTAATTAATATAGTATTTGTTAAGAGTCTTGTTTTTTTTTTAGTTATAGAAGTACATCCATTTAAAATTTATTTTGCGGCTCCGTCTAAAGGTTAGGTCGTCTACTTACTAAGTTTTTTTTTAAATATGTGTCTGGGTATGTGTGTTTTATATAGTGCACAATAAAGTACCATTAGTGTATTTATATATATCTTATTTAACAGATCTGCGAGTATTGAGCATAAGGAGTTGGGATATGTGGTTTATGGGTACAAACAATTTCAATCATACTATGCCACGTCCGATATTGCAAAGAAAATAAAAGTCAAAAATTCAAATTAATATCACCATTTACTATTGAGTAACATTTAATTTCATTCATAAATTAATTATATCTAATTTACAGTCTTAAACAATAAGACTTGTGACTAATAAAGTTCGAATATTACAAAATAATTCCAATTTCAAATTAATCACCATAAATAATAGCAACAGCGATTTTAAATCCATTACTGTTATGAGTCACGTGACGGTACTAATTTAAAAATTATTCCAGTATTCTTTTTTCGTAATTCGAATTCGGTAACGTTTTTGAATATCAGTCTCATTCTTTATACATTATTAATGAAAAAGTCCTTATGGTATTCTTAATTGCCAGTCTTATTTTTTTGTAAACTTATTTTTTTTCGAATCTTTGATTATTATTGAGTAGTAGGGAGTTCGAGTTGAAGGTATCATCTATGAAGCCATTGCCTCTTTGTGGGTATGTTTGGGGGCGCTTCCTGTTTTCTTCCAAAGCCTTCCAGTTGAGAAGCCAGAAAGGCTGATGTTCGACTGGTAGCTTGCTTAACCTGCGGACTAGTTCCACATCCCCAAGAGCTTCGAGAGGCAGTCGTATAGTGGTTGACGTTCCAACTTCGTCTCCAAACCTGGAAATAAATTGTGATGGGTTAACTAACTTTTGGTATACGTCGGCTGCGCGAAGTCGCCGCAATTAGTGCTCATGTATTAGTTCCAGAGTGGCTTGAAACTAGTAGAGCTTTCTCAGTTAATTCATATGAGTAAGTCATTATTTCCAGTAAATTTGGTATGTCAATACATATATATGTACTATAAGAAAATTGACCTATACAAATGTAATGAGGAACAAGGATTGAACTTGATTGAGCAACAAGAATGTTTATTAATTCCTATAAGTAAACAATGAAAAGCAGCATTCTTTATTTAACTTAGGGCATGGATAAAAGTTATCTGCGGAATAATTAGGATGCTGTCGCGTCAGCGTGTTTGTGTAAGACAGTGACAGCAACAATTTTATTCCTCATCATCATCATCATCATCATCAGCCCATAAGTGCCCACTGCTGAGCAAAGGCCTCTTCTCACACGGAGAAGGTTTGAGCATTAATCACCACGCTTGCTCAATGCGGGTTGGCGATTTCAAACTTATAATTAGAAATTATAAGTCCAGGTTTCCTCACGATGTTTACCTTCACCGTATGTCAGTGGTGTCTAAATAATCATAGAAAGTACATATAACTGGGAAAAAGTCATATTGGTACTTGCCAGGTTTCGAACCTACACCCTCATGCATGAGAAGCGGGCTCCTTAACCTCCGGGCCACCACGACGTCAATTTATTCCTCAGATATCATTTATCTGACTATTAAAAGTCAGTCCTTAAACTACTATAGTGTATTTTTTATTTATTGACTGTTTTTCATTTCTATAGCTCCGGTGATTGACTATTTATATGTTTGTTATAATATTTAGTAATATATCTTCAAAATATTTACCTGTTACCCAATCCGGAGCCCGCAGTCGTTGGCGCGGCAGTGCTCGGCTCTATGTAAGGATATCCGATGGGCAATCGACCAGCGTAAGGCGATCTTTGAGCAAAACAGCTGACGATAACAACAGCAAATACTACAAAAGTCTTCATTTTGAAATCCTGTAAAGAAAGAAATAATATTTATAGTAATTTTGCTACATTTTTTTTTGAGGTTGTAACTGTTTTTTAAGTTTTCCCTTGATATGCACAAAAGTTATTCATCGCTCAAATTCCTATCATCTATATCTATACTATACTAATATTATAAATGCGAAAGTATCTCTGTCTGACTGTCTTTTATTCACACCTAAAGTACAGAACCGATTTCTGTGAATTCAGTATACACATAGTTTGAAACTCGAGAAAGGACATAGGGTAGTTTTTAATACCAGAAATCTGCAGGAAGTCACTATCCTGCTTGAACGGAGTCGCGGGCAATACTAGTAATCGATAAAGAATAGTTTTTGATGTTTGTTATATTAAAATTATTAGTCCTATTGCGATAAAAGGTCGGTTTATAAGTATTCAAAAGCAAGGTGCGATTATGGTTTCCTCAGAAATTTATAGAACTAATCTTCCTTGCACGAGAATCACAATCGCATCATTATACATACCTATAACTACTCCTAATAATTATGACTACTCGAAAACAGGCCCGAAAAATAAATCAATATTGCAATCAAATATTATCTTTTTACAATCTAATGTTTGATTACGTACGATTGAATAAAATAAATAGTTAAAAAAGTCTACGAAGTTTTTAATCTTGCACTGACATTTCTAAGTAGGATGATGTCATTGGTTCAATAAATAATAATATTATGTGAAAAAGCCATTTTATATTTAATTAGTCAAATGTAATGCACAGATTTTTAAACCACTGGTTATAATGGGATTTACCAGATTTTTTTTTTTAAACTTTGCCTCTCACTTGGACTTTTTCTTGTGTCGTGGGTTTTTTTTGTGAGGGGAAAATCATCAAATGACTTCTCCCGCCCAGGGCCGGGCGGGAGGGACTGTCAGACTCTTACTGACTAAAAACCCCCTGTTCCTTCTCCTGCTCTGGGCCGAGGTCGCGGTGCCTCATTGCGCTTACCCCGCAACCCCGGCTGAACATCAGCTCTATAGGGTCCCGTCTGTGGTGGACTATTGGCTCTTTGAGGCGCGACGTTGTGTCGTGGGTGCGTTTACAAACACACAAGCCACCCAGAATTGAAATGCGGGAATCGAAACCGCGACACGAACTCACACACACACACCACAGACGAACTGACTCAAAGACTATAATAATATTATATTTTGAAATTTCAAAAGTTCCTGTTTATGGTTTAGTTGAAATAAATGATTTTGACTTTGGCTTTTGACAAAAGGAGGTTTTTCGCAAATTGTGACATATATAGGTATAGGTACTTTATGGATATTAATATTTGTGACGTCAAAAGTATAGTGTACCTACGACAGAATAGGTATTTAAAATCGCTTTTAATTTAACAAAATATATAATTATTTATTATCTATAGTACCTATAGCTAACCGTTTTTGTCCTACCTCTTGCCATAATGACCACTATGCAACCACAATATTGATAGAGTGACCTCTATATAACACTGATACTATGATAACAAACAAAAACAAGAAACATTATATTTTATATATGTTTTTATTTATATTTTATTTTGGTTTTATGTATACATGAGGTCATTTCTTGTGGTGTCTAGTAAGTTATTTGAAACTAAACGTTATGCATCAACTCAACTCTTTTTGTTAAATTTGTATATTTGTTAAACGTCGGATGTGTATTATTTTATATGCTTTCTACATAGATGGCTGTTTGTGAGGGATTTTTTAAAATCATGAAATTTTTTCCGATGCCCTAGGTGAGACGAGAGGTTGAGTCATAGTAAAAACCACCAAATTCCTTTTCCTGTACCGGGTTGAGGCCGTGGCACAAGATTATTATTTTTATACACACAATAGAAAACACCATTGTTTCTCGCGCAGATCAGTGCTGGCATAATTATGAGGGGTTGATGCCTAGTAATTATTTTTTTATCACCTCACTTAAGACCCCCTTTTTGTAACATTTTGATCTCTTAGAGATGCAAACAGAGACACAAAATACACTTTACAATTAGTTACTTTATGAGTCTTGTAATGGGGGTTAGCCTTACAATAAGACCGGCCACAGATCCTAACTCCGTGCTTAAATTCGCAAGATCACTTTTTTAAGCTTAGAATTTTAACCCCAGAGCCTTTGCTCGGCAGACAATTCGATGAGGCACTTCTTAATTTAATCACTAAGGACCTTGTTGAACAAACATAGACAGGTTCAACACTAGAATACATGATAAAGACCTCGGTTTTAGATGTAAATTATGCATTTCTCATACTGTATTTAAGTGTGAGAGAACCATGCATGGTCGGCTCGACCGGAGTGATACCACGGCCTCACAGAAAACCGGCGTGAAACAACCACAGCGTTGTATTTCGCCGTGTGGGTGAGGTTACCGGAGGCCCAATCCTTTCCCACTCCCAATCCCTCCTCAATCCTTAAATCTCCAAATCCCTAATCCTTAGCCACTCAAACGTCCGGGCGACTATAGCAGCCCAAAAAATTTTGGCGTTGAACGTCCGGGCGACTACAGCGGCCCAGATGTCTCGTTCCATTTAAACCTGTTTTTATCTGTGTTCATGTTCAAGAGGTTCACAAGTGTTCCACTAGATGACTCTTTATTAACTAACGCGTCTGTGGGTCGGCAAATCAGCACGTCAAGGTGACATCAAGATTAAAAAAAAATATTGTTTACAAAACTTTTTGTCATTTTTTGAAGTGTTTGTGAGTGTCGACTTTATAATGTACGTAAAAATGTATTTATTATTCAATTGATTGGGTGTTATATATTGAAATACTCCAGGGGATCCATTCTTTTAGAATAGCTACAAATTCTAAGCATTCGCAGTCTGATGTGATATTTTTAAATGAGTTAAAATCGACGAGCAAGAACTTTGCCGTTGTGGGTCGGCTTTTTGTTATTTTTTTATGAAATGTATTATATTAAAGTAAAATACTACTTGTAATCGGAAAAAATAGGTAATTATTAATACCTGTGTAAACTTAAACAAAAGGAATATGGCAAAAAATGTTAGGATTACACGTTTTTATTATTTAATTCTCAGGATTTTGTCATCAGAGGCGATAGCAAATTCATGGGAATGGGTAGTTTGTTTTGATTTATTATGTTATTTTGGTAGTTCTAAGTAATGATATATTGGCGTCAAAAAAAAGGTTATTTCATCTAGTTTATTAATAAGTAAATAGCTTAAAGGTTTATTACGAAATATTTCGTAAAAACTTGTAATAAATAAAAATTTTACTCAAATTTCACCATTATTGTAAAGTTTAACTTTTTTTTGTATTGTTTACGATAAGAGTTACAATTTAGTTTTCACATATTTTGATTCCTTATAGTTTCAGCTCTATACAGGTATTTTTTAAGTTGCCATAACAGTTGCAGATTGATAGAAAATATGCTTTAAATCGGTGACGGCATCGGACGCTCGACCGCTTCGTAAGTCCGCGCGCGCGCGGACGTTCAAGGCGGTGGCAGCTGTCAGACGTGGACGTTTGAGTGGCTAAAAGGTCGGCAACGCACTCGTAACTCCTCCGTTGCGGGTGTCCATGGGCGGCGCTGATTACTGACCATCAGGTAATCCGTCTGCTCGTTTGCCGATCTATTAAATAAAAAAAAAATGTGTGTGTCAATTGTTTTGGTAAGTCTTAGACTTGTTTGAAATCTTGTAACGTATGTTATGTAAATCATCAAATGACTATCCTTGCAGGCAGGAAGTGGGAGTGGGCATTTACTGATTAAACACCACCACACCACGTGTGTGATCCATGGATTGTTGTTCCGGGTCTGGGTGTGATGTGCATGTGAAATTGTATGTTTGTAAACGCACCCACGACACAGGAGAAAATGCCAGTGTGGGGCAACGTTTTTTTTTTTAAATAAATCACTACCACATTCATTCTCCAGCACTAGGGGCCGGAGCCTGATACGTTATTTATTGCGCTTAACTCGCAACCCTGGAGTAGGTGTCCATAACGGTGGTCAACTTTCCTAACAGCTACACTTTGCCAGTCTTAAAACGTCTACTACCGCACTTAGAGACAGTTAATGATTACTTAAACTTTTCCTTAGTAACTTAGTAATAGTAAAGTAGAAAACAATTCCTAAAGGCTGAGTTAAGCAACGATTTAACGACTGAGTTCGGTGATTAGCCAGTTTCTAAAGTACTAGTGACTAGAAATTTGGTCTGTTTTTTTGTTATTTTGGTAATATGATCTTATGACTTCTCCCGCCCTGGGCAAGAGTCTGATACTTTGGATACTCAGATTATCAGACTCTTTATGACTAAAAACCTAGTTTTTCATTCTACTTCCCCATGCCGAGAGGCGACACATAATTGCATCTACATCAACGACCAGGAAACCTTATTAGATGATTTCACTCGCCCAGGGTAAGGCGAAAGGAAGTATCAGACTGACTAAAAACCAGCCTTTGGACCCCAGTGGTGGTGGTCTAATGGCTCTTTGAGGCGCGCGCGGAACGCTACGCACCATAGGCTTGGGTCTGATTCTAGTTGGGTGGTGAACTACCCTTGCTCGCCGTCCGGGGACCGTCGCTCGATTACCGACGCCCGGAGTGTCTCTTACTGCGAAGTCTGGGCATTAGGAGGAGAGAAAACCTTTTAAGTTACCATCCGTAAATCAGTCAAGGACAGGTTTTTGCGTAGACCCGGGATTTGCACCCAACACCAACGCAGCTGCAGGCGGGCGAGTTTAGCGTGCCAATAGTGTCGCGCGCGACGTCGCCTCCGACGCCATACAGATAAAAGTAAGTGCGCGTGAATCGCGCTAGTTGCAGCGCAACATCGCCGCGTCGCGTGTCGCGGAATATAATATGGCACTCTAACATGGCTTGAAACTAGTCGAGCATCGCGTCAAACAATTACGTGAGTAAGCCTAAAACATAATAATTAATTTGGTATGTCTCACGAAAGTTATAATAAAAATACAGTCAGGTACAGCAATTTTTGCAAGTAATTCCGACTGTTTAGTTAAGTTTCAGTTTAGTAATTTCGACGTATCAAGCTAATTGTTACTTAGTTAAAGACGCCATGTTAATTGGTACCTATTGTTTCAGGTTCCTAGTTCGAGCCGCTAAGATACTAAACTAATTTTGAGAACAATGCCTAGGTTTAGCCAGCTATTGTTCTATACATCTAGACTAGACGCCATCATGACTAGGATAGATTGCCTCATATTTTTGTTTTACTATTGTTACTATAAATTTGAGTAATTTGTTAAAATAGGGAATGGTTGATTTAGGATAACAAGTGCCAAGCCCGCCACAATCTTTCATAAATGTCGAAAAACAATTTATGCCTTGCCACAACATAACAACTGTTTTAGGTTATGTATAAGTGTGGGAGAGCCATGCTTCGTCGCGAATGGGTCGGCTCGACCGGAGTGATACCACGGCCTCACAGAAAACCGGCGTGAAACAACCAGGTAGCCTGTAGTTCCTGAACGAATACTCAAATACTCAACACACGTTCCTATAACACTTTTTTTCTGTAATTAATTGTATTGTAAGTTTCATGTATATCAAATGAGTTTATTGCCATACACTGTCATAATTAAATTATTGTGTTATTAATGAGAAATTTACAAAAAGAATACCGAAAATATCACAATAATTCTTTAACCGACCTGGTACATCCAAACCACGGTGTATGTGTGCGACCATTCGCTCAATGTTAAAATAATTTAATAACCAATAAATAATAATCGAATTAAATATCAAACTCCACTCGCTTGCTCCAATTCAATCAATGAAGCAGAATGTACCTCTAAAATCGTGTTTGAAGTTCACCACAATGTAATAATCAGCTTACGCTAAAGGAATTGATTTCAAAATATAATTAAGAAATGTAGCTGTTCAGAAAACCACTTCATAAAACATAATAGGTACTTTTGAATAAAATAAACATATCAAAATTTTTTAAACAATTGTAGGTTTGTTAACAGATCGAACAAAGGAGCATGCCATAGATTTAATATTGGAATAGACTGTCTTATTTATCGAGATCAATGTAGTGGTGGACGGGAGGTTAAGGCGCCTACTTCTAATGCACGAGGATTTGAAACCAGGCAAGTACTAATGTGACTTTTTCCGAGTTACATTTGCTTTATATTATTATTAAGACAACACTGACATCCGGTGAAGGAAAGCACCTCGAGGCAACATGAACTAATAATTTCTAATTGTAAGTTTTGAAATCGCCTATCCACCGTAAGCAAGCATGGTGATTACTGCTCAAAAATTTTTCCTTTTGAGAAGATGCCTTTGCTCGGCAGTGCGCACTTATAAGCTGATGATGTGATGTAAAAACATCATAATTTTTCTGTGTGACTATGTGGTATTACTGTGGCCGAGCCAGCCAATTCATGGCTCTCTCACATTTTAAACACGTACTTACACGTACTGTCAG